TTTCAGAATAGCAGTTAGCTTATCAGTTCTGTGTCAGATGTACAACAGGTAAGATCCTAAGTCTTAAAAACTTTTTAACAGAACTCCCTTCATATTTTCCAGAATATGAGTGAAACTGTCCTAAGAGAGAACGGTGAGTATGTTTTCCCAGCAGATGTTCGAACACTGGGAGGAATGTTGTTGGCTGGAAACTCCTGCACGTTAACAGGAAAACAGCCTGGCATGCAGATGATTTACAGACAATCATCCAGTTCCATCCAAGGTCTAAAGTCCTGCAGCTGTCATGTCCTGGAAGTGGTCATGCTGAAGTCCGGTGTAGACAGGAATTAGATGTCTGCAGAGGAAAATATGACCCTTGAAACTGTCAATAAAGCCTGACTCAGACCAAACTGAAATGTGACAAAGCATTTCTCGCCGCTGTGCTCTAATGGATTTTTCTTATCATGGCTTTTTGTTTTGTTGTTGTTTCAATCACAGGGTTTTGTTGTGTTCTTGTTGCTGTTTCAGATGTATTTCGTGAGCCTTACTGTTACCCATTATTTTTAAAAGTTCATCTTTTCCGCCTTGCTTTAAGCTCTTCTTGTCAGTTTCCAATTTGAATATATTTCCTTAACTTTATTCATATAATCTCTGCTCTGTCTGATCCTCATCCTTATTTGCACTGTGTTTATCATGTAAGGATGTGTGTTTTTAGGACGTGCTGCACAGCTTGTTTTTAATTTTACTCTGGACTTCCTGCCTTTTGTTTTATTAAGAGGTTTGTTAGTTTTGACACCTTCCTTCCTCCAGAGGTTTTCTCTGCCATGATTTACATGACTTTAGAACAAATGATGGATCTATTGCAGTACTGTATAAAGTTAAGGAGTTATTTAATGACAAAGCACTATTTATACTATATAATGCAATAATTGTTCCACATATGATTTACTGTATAGAAGTCTGGGGAGGTGCATGTAAACAATTATTAATCCTATTTTTATTTTACAAAAAAGGGCCATAAGAATTATCACAATAAACCATTACTATCACCTGTCTAATATATTGTTTCATCAATTAAAATAGTTAAAATTTTATGAGTTGGTTGATTATAACATTCTGCAGGTTATGTATAAAGCTCATGAAAATGTGTTACCTGCAAACGTCCAATCCAATTTTGTTAAAAGCGAAAGCTGCTATAATTTGAAGGGTCTTCAAATGTTTGTTAAACCAAAAATTCAAACAAATTTGAAGGACAGATGCACTTCAGTAAAAGGTATAAGGCTATGGAATAATCTGGAAAATGATTATAAAAGCATTGGATCAATTCCTATAAAAATGATCAAAGTAAAATTGTTAAAGAAATATGAAATTGTTTAATTTGTATTTGCATGAGTCACTGTTTGAGGAGTTGAATTTTTGTTTTTGTTTTATTTGATTTGTTATTGTTTGAAATTAATAATTCTTTTGTAAATAGGAGCAGATATAAGATTTTTTTTCTTCATCTGCTGCCTTTCATTTTATTTGATTTGCATTGTTTTGTTGAATGTAATGTTATGTGTTTTGTTTTGTTTTTAATGAAATGAATGGAGAAGTTGGGTAATTCCTGCTGCCGAAGGTGTTTGTCTGACTGTCTGTTAGCAAAATATAAACAATTGAGCAGACGTTACTTAAACTTTCAGAAATTAATTATTGGAGGTACTTCTGCAATGATTATCTTTTGGAGTCAACAGATTCAAGATGGCCTCCACAGCTGATTGATATTAGCAATAACAAAAAACAGCCACAAATATATATATGTAGAGGACCAAAACTGACAAAATTAAAAAAAGAAATAAAAGCAGAAATACACTGAACAAAAACAGAAATGCAACACTTTAGTTTTTGCTCCCATTTTTCATGAGCTGAGCTCAAAGATCTCAAACATTTTCTATGTAGGCTAATCAATAGACCTCCTTCCTTCAAATACTGTTCAGAAATTTGTGTAAATCTGTGTTGGGGCACTTTTTCTTTGCAGAGATAATCCAACCCACCTCCCAGGTGTGACATTTCAAGATGATGATTAGACAGCACGATTATTGCACAGATGTGCCTTAGGCTGGCCACAACACAGTCTGATTGCTGAGGCAGGCATGCACAGTAGACCTGCACATGGATCCTGCTCCTTCTTGTCTATTGACCATTAGTAAAGGAGTTTACCCAACCTTATTTGCATAATGAGGCAGAAATACATAAGATAAAGTAAAAACAGGAGACAGAAAAGTGTAAAAACAACACGTGGAAATAAAAACACTTGTGTAGGAAAAGAAACTATTAAAAAGATTAATAAAAAATTAATAGACACAAATGTATCTACAAGTAAAAGGAAAAACAAAAATATACATTTTTAAAACTGTAAAAAAATTAGATTTGTGCTAAAATTTATGGCCTGTTGTAAAATGGAAAAATAAATATAAAGGTCAATTAAATTATATAACATGAGGTAAAGCTCTTCTTTTTAAATTAACTGGTGCATTTTGTGTATTTGTTTATTTATTGGGCCATTTAAATATTTCTGCTTTTGTTTTTAATTATGTCAGTTTCAGTTCTCCATACAATTCAGTAAATTTAAAGCCAGAGTAGTTCACATCAGTTTCCATTGTTATGTGAATGACAAATTTACCTTTCCTTATAACAAAATTATCTCAGTCTAATGACACTATATCTTCTGTTAATAAATGCTAGGACTTTAACTTTACTTTTGTGGAAGATAGTTTCATGTTCTGGCCAGGTTTAGTAACTAAAACTACTTATAAAAACCAAGCATTTGGATTAGATTATAATTCAATTTCTTGAGGTAAAACCACTAAAGGCTTTCTTATCTTCCAGTGCAGGTGAAAGTCTTAATGTTATTTACCTAATATTTCTTGAGCCACTTTACTGTGAGTGATATGGTTCATCAGTGTGTCTTTCTTAACAATAAATATAAAGTATTTACAAAGTTGTTAAAGCATCTCAGGATCTCGTTTCTAATTGTTGTCACGGGAGCGACTGCCAATACTCTGTTCATGTGAGTACTGTAATTACAGCAGAGCAAACAGAGAAACTCCACTGATTAAATCACGACAAAAACACAAGCAGTCATGTGGGTTGGAGAACAAAGATAAACATTTATTTTGACATGACATTTTTCATGGTATCTTCGACTTCAGCAAGTGTGAAAGTTTGTGTGTGTTTGTAGTCATTGCATTGTTTGAAACATTTATAAGTAGGCCTATTCTGTGAAACAAGAAATCAGTTTGAGACTCTGATGA